TTGCAGCGTATCCTCTTAGTCCTGTACACACCGACAGGTTACAATTGCTCGATTAATGTTTAGTGAGATAGTTTTACCATTTGAAATGGGAGAGTACCGAACCTCGGTACGATGTAGTGATGGGTACAGTTAAAATGTAAGCGTATCATTTAAGTTTCGTAATGGACGATAAACTGCGCAATTGGTCGACTTTAATTCCGTAGATGAAAAATTGTTTAAATACGATTAATCGGTCCGTTTGGTATGATTAAGGTTAATATTTTATCATCGAGTTATTCAAATTCTTAATAGACAATTTATCTATTATTATTTAGCGGTAACATTGCCGAAGATTTTTGTACATAATGTACAGAAATTGTATAAAACTGTTCTTTTATCGCACCATGCACCACGAAGAATCGATTTTGTAAATAACAGTCACTTCCTGGTGCACCATCGGTATCGTAAGGTTACGGTGATCGTTGCCTTATGTATACAAACAGGCGATCATCATTATAAATAATTGTCCTTTTCATTTCCAATCATTCGATTCGTTCGTACTTCCCTCGCGCGGGAATGTACAAATAGAAGGTGTGCCTCCACGCATGATCGATCCACCATAGAAATATTCGTATCTCGCCCAAGTATGATAAAATAATTGTTTCGTTATTCTTATTGAAAACATAAAACTATGTAACACGCGTACTCATACTTTGGCAATTTTACAGATGAACATTTACTATGTAACATTCGTGCAATCCAAATGAGAAGAATGGTATAAAATCTCATTCAAGAACGTACATGACAATATAATGGATTCTCAAAAATCAATCCCCGCCGTTTGTAATCTACACTTTACGCGATAAAATCGCAGAAACTCACCGCCCGGATCATCGTATCGATCATGGAATCGCGTGGATATACACTGTGTACGCGGTAATTATACCTATCGTCAAAATGATTATAGACAATATCGTTACTTTACTCGATTACATTCAGTCCCGTTCACCTCTTTCTTCGGCCCGCTCCTCCGCTCTCGCTTTCATTCTGGTTATAAATGCTTGACCTTTACTTTTTCTAAAGTTCTCGTATGGATCATTCAAATTAATACCGACGCCCTTGTATTGATCATTTTTATCTCTAATTTCACCTCCGGAAATAGGAGCCTCGATACCCTGTTCATTGGCACCGAGTCCTGCACCACCCCAACCCATTTTCTTGAGTAACTGATGACCTTTATTACTTTCATCGATACCAATTTCTTGAGGGGCTTTACTATACGTTGACCCGCTGAAAACAAATATTCAATAGTAAACAAATTCCTCGATGAAACTATAATTAGGGAATACATTGACATATTATTACTTACAGAAAGCTAGGCGGAGTTGGACTCCGATCTTGTCTATCCATTCGTCTGTCAGGACTTCGGTCCTTGTTGCTATTCCTCCTCCTTCTGCTCCTGTTATTATGATTGCTATTACGGCTATTGCGTCTGTGATTAGTCGCTGGAGATCTGGATCTGCTTCTACCCCTCGATCTCGAACGTGATCTACTTCTCGATTTACTTCGATATCGTTTCTTTGGTGGACTAGGACTTTTGGACCTCGGCCTCAAAATCGGCGATGGTGATTTGGACTTTTGCCTTATGCCAGCCGCAATATCTTCTTCTTTGCGTTTACGTGCGGCATTTTTCGCTTTATAATATTCATATAAACCTAACTTCTCCCATCCGTCACTGGAATAGAGAATTATTATGTTTTTAAGATGTTGGGTTTTTTCATGAATTTTAATTTAATCTACGATTATATGCATTTCAATCTTACCTGTCCCGTGGCGAGTCATGATTCGGCGGCGCATAGAATGCTTCTACAGCCGCTACTAACCGCTCACTTGGCGGAGCGGGCGGTGGTAGTCTAATAGCATCTGGATCCAACGGTTTGTATTCGGCGTCTTCTAATTTGATCAAAGGAACCATCAAACCAGCAGGAAGTTCATAGTAAGGCATACTGGGCATTAAATCTTCAACGGATGGTTCATGTATAACCGGCGGCGGACCAAATCCAGGTGGAGGTTTCGAAAAATCTGGCAATGGGACATTTGTGAATGGCGGAGGATCGTTTCCAGGCGGTACACCCCATCCGGGCGGTGGCTGACTGAAATTTACATCCGTACCAATCGGAGCTGGAGGACCGGAATGACTAGGTGGTATAGACATATTTTGTTGATTCTGTAAAATATTTGTTTTCTTCGGTATTTCGGGCGATTTATAAATTGAAATGTAATTAAACTCGTATAAATACCAATTGGGGTGGCGGTGGAGGTGGGGCTTTCAATTGTTGATCAATTGCTATTTTCTGCTGTTCTATATTTTGAATTTGCCGTAATGCGTGAGTAACGAATGCTTGATGTTGCGCTTGATAATTATCAAAAGTCTGCTTTGTCGAAGTTGTTATCGGTGTAATTGCATTAGCATGTTGCGCAACCAAATTGGCCTGGTATTCAGACCAAGATGTACTTGGCTGTTTCAATTTATCTATAATTCCTTCATCAAAGTAATTATTTTTTGACTCCCACAAGCTTAATAGTTTATTTAATTTATTAAGTTGTTCTTCTGATGCAGCTAGTGAAGTGTTACAGAACATTGGAACAACAACACTTTCCATTGCCTTGCGAAGATCCATAGACTTTTTTCTTGCACTAAAGAAGTTTACCATTAAATAACGCGCACAAATACTTTACGGGGGTTGTCAAACTTTACAAACTATATTTACTATTATCGTCAAATTGGAATTGCGAGATTCATATTCATTGTATTATTGTGTTATAAGATACATTCATGACACGAAGATGCGTATATGCATAGAGGACTTAATTTTTGTAATCATCCAAAGCATGTAATCCGCGAATGATTTGTTATTAAATATCATCCTACTTACCAGTGATGCAAGACATCATTCACCAAATAGATAATGTGCAATTTGTGACTAAAATTTGTTGCTTGAATTACTCTGAAATAAATAATATTTATTAATTAAAAGCATTTACTGTATTCCAAAAGCCACAAAAAAACAAACAACAGAAGATTAAAACAAACATACTTTTTCAACAAATGATCCGCGACAACTTGATTACTTTGTGGAGTAACAGAATTCTGAAGTATCCAGGCTTTCCCTGCACTTATGCTATCTTTTGTGCAGCTATCAATAATAGGCTGTAGTACTGCATCAAACGCAGCAAGATCTGTGTTTGTGGTTTGCGCACTATTTTGCAAAGCTGTTTCTTGAGCTTGTCTAACAGCATCCTCAACCCGTCCTTGTTGTTGTGCCATCAATGCAGCATGTTGTGCAGCCAGATTTTGCTCTGATTGTCTAACTTGTTCCTGTAGCGTAGTTTGCTGCGATTGCAGGTTTGCTAGTTCATTCTGAAGCCATCCAGGGGGGCCGCCAATATTAACCGGTTGCGTAACTCCAGCAATTGGTGGGTTCACACCTCCCATAGCACCAGGAACTGGTCCAATCGGTGGTCCTGCATTTCCTGGTCCTCCAATTTGTCCAGGTACTCCAGGTATAACAGGACCAGCTTGATTTCCCACTGGTCCAATTCCCACTACTGGGTTTAATCCATTGTTTTGAGTACTTAGGCCAGGTGCAAGATTGACGTTATTCAGTGGCTGCGCGACGGTAGCGGCTGTTTGCTGCTGCTGCGAA